TTCAGCTTACTAAAAACAAATTTTATTTTAAATTTATTTAAATAAATATCTTTTGATCTAACTTCTAATTAAATTTAGTAAAAAATTAAGTTGGATTTTCTACTAGATTTAGTTTTAAAAATATTTACTAAACTTATAAATTTATATATATATTTATTACAAAAATCTTATATTTGATATATTATTTTTTTTTATAATACCTTTTTTTACTCTAATTCTACTATTATCTAAATAATTTAGTTATTTATAAATTTAATAATCTAATAACAAATAATAATTTAAACAAAATCTTCAAAATTTAGCAAAACTATTATTAATTTTAAATAAAGAACTTAATTATATATCATATCCTGCAATATAGCTATATGTCATATCTAGCAATTTATTCAATCAAATTTGATGATCAGGTATAATATTATATTTGTTTTGAAAATCTGATAGGGTTTTTGCTTTCAAAATAATCCTCTAAGCTATTGTTATACAAGAATTTTATTAAGAAAATCATAATAAATCTATTTTTAGCACAAAAAAATCATAGCAAAGACCTTAGATATAATATAAAATTTTTGCTTTTTTGCTTGTTTTTTAAAAAAATTGCAAATATCTCAAAATTTTAATAATGAAACTACTTTTAGAGTTCTAATTAAAAAATTCCTTATTAAATTTTACTATAAAGTAGCCTAACTCTAATTGAGTTTTTATTCTAACTTTAAGCTAAATAGAGATTTAGTTTTTTTTAAGAAAAATTATATTATACAGATCTGCAAACTATATTTTGTATATATATATGATATATAGCTGTATCATAAAGTACAATGTATATATTTATTCTTAAATAAATAATGAGTATATTTATAGTTATACTTTGAATTTCTAAATACTTATAATTTGCTCAAGATTATAATTAGTTTATTGTTAAGATATTTATATAAACTATAATTATTTTTAAAAATTTCTAAACTAATAGTTATTTTTTGCTTTTATATTTTTCTAAATCTATTTTATATTTGCTAAAGTTTGTTGTATCAGAAATATAAGCTTGTTTTATTTTTAGAGCTTTTAGTTTTCTATATTAATAAGTATATAAAACTTTATATATTAAATCTTTGTATATATAAAAACTTGGTTTAGGTTTATTATTTGTTCTATTACTAATAATAATTTCTATACTATTAAATATTTTATTATTAGTAAACTTTAAAAGTTTATTCAAGTTATTTTTATTTTAGATTTTAGTATAATAACTTATTTTGTTACTATATTTTGAATCAATATATAAAATTTTAGTTCTTGAATTAGTTTTAATTAACTTTTTTTAGCTAAAATAAATTTATAATTTTTAAATTCTAAAATATTATCAAGTCTTTTATTTAAACTAAGATTTCTTAAGATAAGTATATAATTTATATATTATCAAAGTAATTTTTATAAAAATACTAGATATTTTTTAATATCTAATTATTAGTTTATTATTTTTACTAATATCTATATTTTTAAGTTTAGATTGAATAGTAAAACTTAGTAATAATACTATTTTTTATCTACTTTGAACTTTAAAAATTTTTGTAATTTTTTAATTATTAGTATATAGTAATAGCCTTCTTTTAAATCTAAAACTAGTTTTTTATTATTATATACAAAAGGTCTTAAAGCTTTCAAATTTGAATAAATTTTCTAAAAATATTTAAAATTAATAATTAGTTATTATTTTTTTAGATCTAGTTTCAAAATTAAAAATATTAAACTTACTTTAAATAATTGTAATAAATAATTTTTAATTTTGAAACCAAGATTAATATATTTATTTCTTTATTTCTAAATTTAAATATATTAATTAATCTTTTGTTAATTTATATTTAAGTAAGTCTAGTTATAATATTAATATTAATAACTCTTTTAATTATTATAAATTACTATTTTTTTTAACTAGTTTTAGTATCTAAATTTCTTGTTTTTAATAAATTATATATTTTTGTTAATAAATTATATGTTTTTGTTAATAGATATTTTACTACTAGTATAAATTTTTAGGCTTAAGTATAATTAATTATATTTATTATTCTTATGAGTTTAAAATACTAGTTCTTATAAAAAATATATCTTTTTGATTAGTAGCAAGTATTTCTTTCTTGTTATTAGTTTAGATTTTTATAAAGATCTAAGAAGTATAATTTTGTAAAATAGTCTAAGCTCTACAGATATAGTACTTATTTGTTAAGCTTAAAACCAAATTTTATATTTAGTAGTTTAACTAAAAAAAATTATATAAGAGTATATAGAAAGTTTTATAATAACTCTAATAATCGATTAATAAGTTATATTATTAATAATTTTGAGTATTACTTTTCTAGAGACTATCAGAGATCTCAATTATGCAAATTGTTTTTTTTGCTTATTTTTCTTTATATATACTAACAATCTTATATTTCTAATTACAAATTTTTTTTCTTTTAACAATTTATTTTAAATATTTAGTAGAGTAGTAGCAATATTCTATTTAAACTCTTAGGCTACTAATAAGTAAATATTCTGTTTACAACTGCTTCAAAAGTTTCTGAAATATGGTTTTTAATTTTTATTATATTCTGAAATTCTATTACTAGGTCTAGTTCTTTTTAAATTATATATAGTATCTTATATTTATACTAGTTTTGTGATTTTTCAAATTTATAATTTACCCAAGGTTCATTATTTTCTACTTTTTGAAATTAATTTTTTATCAAAGTTTATAGCACTTCTTATGTTTCTGAATGCTGATATTATCAAATTTCCAAAGAATCAGAGTAGTCATTTCTGGTATCATTTTCCAAATATTGTTTATTAGCCTTTTATGGTGAGGGTTCATTAAGATATTTATTTCAAATATTTGAGCTAGTTTAATATTATTATTAAGAGCTTGTGATAGCTCTATTTGGTCGTTATATCTGGTTTCTTGAACATTATTCCTTAATATTTGAGTTAAGGTGCTGCTACTAGCAGCCTCCAAGTCTATGTATTGATCCCTTGTACTTATTTTAGCTATATAATCATCATTATCATTTGCCTCTTCATACGCATCATTTATCAAATCTAGAGTTCTCAAATTTAATGCTCAGTTTGTGAAGAGTATCTTTAGTCTTTACACTAAATCCACCTAACAGACTATCTTTTTTTCATAGAGTTTACTCTAATTAGCTAAAATTAAAATCCGCAATTCGTACAATAAATTTTCAGCGTATCGTTGCCATTTAATCATAAAATTGATCTGAGATGTTCTCAATCATTTCCATTAATTGACGATTAAATGGTAATGATATTAATGATATAATTATGCGAATTGCGGATTTTAAAATTTTAGCCAATCAGAGTAAATTCTATATTAAAAAAATGATGGTCTGCACTTCCATATTTTATTATCTGAAATGAATTAGTTTATTCGAATTCCGACTAATTAAAATTTTTAGGCTACGCAAAGTCGATTTTTCATTTTGCATCATCATTACTTTTTTTTTTGTCTTTTTCGAGTTCTAATTATGCTAATTATTCCATTTTTGCAATTTTATTTTATTTTTTGATCTTTTTATCCGGTGTTACCCGACTGTGACTTTAATTATCTGATATAATTCCAAGGACTTCGGACATAATTTATTGAACTAAAACATGTCAGCAACAAATAAAATTGAAAGCCCGAGGCTTAGTTTTCCTTTGGTCACATTAACAATAAAAAAAAAATCCGCTCTCCGACCGAGCTTTAGAATTTCATGTAATGCAAAACGAAAATTTACTTTGCTTTGGTCTTAAATGATTTATAAAAGGAGTAATTTCTCATTGCATCAGATTGTACTGCCACGTGTGCGCAGCTATCTTATTAAGTATCTCTATATTGTTTCGTACTTGGTCAGTGGGAATTTACCTAATTATATAGTTTAGAAGGGAGCATTTCGTTAAGAGATTAGATTAGATCTTGATATATCTCTCGCACATCTCCGTGTCGAAGTGTAACCTGATGAAACAAAATAAAGAGAGAAATTAATTATTTGATCAATTCTGATTAATATTCTAAATTCGGCTTTATAAAGATTACTTACCGTTACTCATTTTAAGTCAATTATTCCGTTTTTCCGTAAAATTCCGCATATATATACGAGTCACTCTCGTTATAGTGAAGTGAGATTTTATTCACAATATCGATAGTCTATTAGTAATATCATTATATCAAGAGGGTTTTTAAATAAACTATTCTTCACTATAATAGAGATTCACTGAGAGTTCATTATAACGAGAGTGACTTGTATATTGTACATTTGTAAATTGAAACTACGCGTTTTATTCAAAGATTTAGAACGTCAAAGCACGAAAGGATTTTACAATAATAATTATACTTTATAAATAATATAAAACATGAATATAACTTTAGATTTTGATAAAGATGTGTAAGTATATATTCATTTTATTGTAATTCGGAATATACCGGTCGGAATATCCATGCATGCTTAAATTTTATCTTCAAAAAAATTAGGTTTATAAACGTCGTAGCCCCGTTGTTGTATTTAATCATCTCAGTATTTATTTTTGGAGCGACATATATTAATAGACAGTTTATTTCAAGAAGATCAGTGGACGATTATGAGACAAATGTATACGATGAGACGAAAATCCGCTTATGTATCACTTGTACAATCTGCTTGCTTCATTGTCCTAACGATATGCAAGATTTGAAAGAGCTTCACCACATCTGTTGGCTCATTGCTTGGGTGAGTTTAATTTAATTAATTAATTAATTTATTTATTTATTTATTTATTTATCTATTATTTATTTTTTGTTAAAAACAAATAAATTGTTTTTATAGATATACGCTTTTGTGTTAGCATTTACTCTAGAAACAAATTCACGGAATTATTTTTTACATATTCGTAGTCATCTAAATACACTATGCCTAATATCATTGTTTTATGTGATAAAAAATCTACACTTGAACTATTTAAAATTTGGAATGATTTTCGGCTTCTTATTTATTTTGATGTACTTCTCGATTTTGGAGACTCCAATTTGTGCTAAGGTAACAAATTTTATATCTTTGTGCCTTTTAAGAATGCTTTTACTAAATTATAACATGATTTAACTAATAAGGATCGACACTTATCACCTGAAACGAATGCCTCTCTTTGTAGCCGTATAATGTTTCTATGGATTAATCCATTGATGAAAAAAGGTTTTAAATCTACACTGACAGATAATGATGTCTTTGAGCTACCTGACTACCTCAAAACCAAAAATATTGTAAAATTATGTAAAATCAACCCAAATAATTCGATCCTAATATCATTATTTTTATACTCTTGGGAAAAATTACTTGTTCAATTCATTTTTGCAATGATTGGAACTATAGGCTTTTTCGCGCCACCTTATTTTCTTAAAAAAGTCTTATATTACATCCAAAATTATTCTGATAATAGCAAAGAGCCACGAACTATTGGTTATTTATATGTTTTATCTTTATTTGTTTTTACTGTGATCCCAGCTTTATTTTTTCAACAAGCATCATATATTGGCCAAAAATTGTCCATAACATTTAAGGTGTGTAAAATAATTTTATATTTCAAAGATTAGTAATAACGGTATTAATTAATATAATCGGAAGTAGGCAATCATCATCGATAGAGTAAATCAAACAACAGCGTCTCTAAATGGTGAAATAATAAATAAAAAGGGAAAGATTACAGATCTCGTCGATTCTGATGCGCAAAAAGTTTCAGCGTTGGCTAGAAATTTTCTTGATTGTAGGCGTTACGTGTCCTTTTTCTTATTTAAATTTAAATTAGATCTATTTTACTAATTTATTATATTTTAGTATATTGCAATCCAATACAGATTATTATTACTATATATTGTTTGCATATTTTGCTTGATGTATCTATCGTAATAATTGGATTTATATTCATAGTTATGTGTCCGTTCGTTTATTTCATTAATAAGGTTTGTAATTTAATGAAAATGATTTTTTTTATTAATTTTGACAATTGCTAATTATAAGTTTAATTTTAGACATTTCAAAATATTCACAAACGTCTTATGGCTGCAACTGATAAACGAGTAGGAGTGTTAAGCGAGGTAAATCAAAATGCAACTTATTATCAATTTTTTTTTATTTTCATCAATTTACATGTCTTATTTTATTAACAGTTATTGAAAGCTATTCGCGCTGTTAAAATTTATTCTATGGAAAATTATTTTCATAGTAAAATCGTTGAGGCTCGTGATAAAGAATTAAATGAACTTAATAATTATATGATTACGAGGATGCTTATAAGAACTTTATTTGAATTTCTCACATTTATGATGATGTTATTTGCATTATTTTGGAATACTAAAATCTTAGGAATGGTTAGTATTACATTTTCATTGCTTAAAAAAATTTGTAACAGTTTAATTTAATAGAAAATTCTTTTCTGCCTAAATAGACATTGACTTCTAGTGTTGCTTTTACTGCACTTATCTTATTTCAAAATCTTCTTCATATATTTAATGAAATGCCATCAATTATTATTAGTGTCACTCAAGGTATGTAGATATTTTAAATAAATTACTTCATATCACAGACTTTAAAATAATTGATTTCGTTTATTAATTGTGTAGCTTTGGTTTCAATTTCTCGAATAGAAGAGTTTTTAAAAAAATCTGAACTCGAAAGAAAACATTCTGAAAATAATATCAATAATTCGAATAGTAATAATGAAATTGGGTTTAGAAATGCTACAATTCAATGGCCGGATAGTGAATTCAATGATAATGATTCAAATAAATTCACTTTGATTAGTTTGGATTGTCGTTTTCATTATAGAAAGTTGACGTTAATCCGTGGTTCTGCGGGATGTGGAAAAACTGCCATGTTGAATGCATTGCTAGGTGGCATGAAATACTTTGGTGGTCATGTGTTTTTACCTAAAATGGGCAGAGTCGCATATGCTGCACAAAAAGGTGATCTTTTTTTTTCTTTTAATTTATATATTGTGGATCAGAAAGTCAAAAGAGATGGATAATTGGAAAAAAATGGTCGTTTATCGGTTTATCGATTATTACCTGTGACCCGAAACAAAACTTCGTGAAACTAGTACTAATCCGAAACCCAAAATATAGTTTCGGGTTTCGGAAATGCGAAACTAGAAACCAGAAACCAGAAACCATATTCTGAAAATTACGGGCTGTCTCTATGAATTACTGCATCTAACTCCTCGGAGATTACATCGTCCGAAGATAGCGACGAAGTTTCCGAGGAGTTGATAATTCGAAGAGATTTCGATAAACAAAATTTTTAGTTTGTCCCAGAATTTATGAGAACAGCTGTAAATTTTGAAAAACCGAAACCTTTCAGAAAAAGAAAAAAAGTTTCGGGTTACATCGATTTACATTTTGATTTTCCATCTAAATTCTAGAAATTTTACAATTATCCGTACTCCGCCTATATACGGACATGCAACGCTATGCCATTAAACCTAGTTTACAGAAATTTCAAAATAATATTTAGAAATTAATTGCAAAGAAGTGCTCGTCTATTAAATACACAAACTTTATTTGTTTTTTAAGTGCTGGGCTCAATATTTAATCATATAAATGTATATATTCACTAATGCCGTGAGAGTCGGTTTTGAATAACTTTGGGTTATATATAAATTTTTTCATAATGAATTTTTATTTGTCGGAGAAATATCGTGTGAAAAATTTTCTTGGTGATATAATATGTCGCACGTACTAGTCAAATGAATATAAATGCACGGTTACTCTTGCGTATCGTTATTTGAGTTATTTCATCGACAATATATTTGTCGGTGAAATTATTGCAAATACGTAAGTGACTATTAGTGAACCCTGTTGCACCTCATTTTATTAATTATTCTATCAAAAATTTTTTTTTAGTATGGATTCAAAATGGAACTATTAAATATAATATCTTGTTCGGTCTTCAATACAATTTACAAAGGTATTCTAAAGTTTTGGAAATATGCTGTCTCAAAAGTGATTTAGCGGCTTTAAAGTTAGGCGATGAAACAGAAACAGGTGAAAACGGAATTGCGCTTAGTCATGGTCAAAGGCAACGTAAGTGTTAATTGAATTTAAGTGAAATTAGAATTTTTATATAGAATTATTTTAAATAAACATAGCCTGATCCTAAAATTCCGTTATCCGACATTTTATGTGTATTATTTGAGGGAAAACCTGTAACTGAATCATTTAGTTTATCACTATGCATTGTACAATGAGCAAAATATCACGGAAAAAACTTCACACGGTCATACGTATAAGATATCGGATAACGGGATAACAAAAAATTTCTTTATCACTCACGTGCTACTACGCGGCACATGGGAGTAACATTAATCTGCAATATTGCATACTTATAATTGAATATGTTAATGAACTAATTTTTTCTTTGATTACAGGTATTGCTTTAGCGAGAGCTATTTATTCTCAACATGAAGTCTTGATTGTAGATGACTTCCTATCTGGTAAATTTATTTAATACATAATAAAGGAATTTTATTCACTCTAACTTTTTAATTATTTATATCATACAAAGCTGTCGATTTGCATATTGCAAAATATATATATGAACAATGCTTATCGAGTAAACTGATGAAAAATAGAACTAGAATTTTTGTTACGCATCATAAAGATCTGTGTCATGGTGCTGCTATGATAGTTTGTATGAAAGATGGTCAAATAAAAGAAAAAATAGAAAATACAGAAGATTTGAATGATGACTTTTCAAGAAATGAAACGTTTTATACAGAAGATTCTGAGAGTGATTTGATATACGTTAAAGATACAGAATTATTTAACTTCGGAAATGAAAACAGATTGATCTCAAAAGAAATGAAGGCTGAAGGGATGGTTAATATAGGAGTTTACAAGACTTATATAGTAACTTCAACAAAAGGACTTATTATTTGGATTTTAGTCGGTATTATAATTTTGGTGACATGGTACATCCAGACTAAACGCGGTTAGTAATTTTGTGCCGCATTCCTATATTTTGTATTTTAATTAGAATGACTAAGGTTTATAACAGCTCTAATTAATTTGCCCCAGATCGTTTAATTAAAAAATGGGCTAATTCTCACAATATTGATGGTCAAACACATCTTTTGGAAGTCCTTTCACCTTTGAACGAAAGCTTCAATTTTATTCTAACAAATACATCTTTCGAATTTAATATTACTGATTATTATCTCTGGATTTACGCTTCTATTGAATTGATGAACATTTTGTTAAAAACTTTCAAGAAATATTGCATATTCTTAAGTTCTTTAATAGCGTCCAAGGAATTACATAATACTATGTTGAAGAGGATCTTATCTGCAACAATTAGATTTTATGATACAACTCCGATGGGTAATATAAATTTGTATAAATTACTTAATTATTTTAAATTTATTTAATTTCTAACGTCAATAACCATTTATAGGTAGAATAACTAATCGATTTTCCAAAGACATGGAAATCATCGATCAAATTTTATCACTCAATGTCATGTCCTTTCTCTATTCATGCATGTCTGCTGCTGCATTAGTTATTTCTGCTACAATTAATATCGATATCAACATTGGATTTAAATTTTTAGTGGCCTGCATTTTCATTGCCACATTATATATTATAATTGGCATGTCAT